ACCTTTTAAACTCGCGCTAAGGAGAAATTTATGGTAAAAAAAGCGACCAAACTGCGTGCAAGGCCAAGATTGTCACATCTGCAGGCTAGCCCATAGCCCTAGCATAAAACCAAAATTTTGAATTTTTTGTTTTTTATAATTTACGATTCTCCAATTTCAAACATTTTTACATTTTTAAATTAAAGTGTATTTGAAAAATTAATTAGAGTTTTATTCGTAAGCAACTCGGTACAATCGTGGTATACGTACACATAGACACTCACGAATAACAAAATCGCAGTGTGTGTTTATTTAATTGCATAGTGGTTAGTGCCTGAAAGGATTATTTGTGGACACTTGCGGACACTTTGGACGATTGTGAGGCGTGTATGATCGCGTGTGGGTGATTTTTGGTCACAACATTGTGTATTGGAACTGGCATTCACCTTTTCTCTGTGAAAATCTTGTCGGGCGAGTTTTGACATGCCCTTCTGGATTTTCATAAGACAGGTTGAATCTTATTCAACGAAAGATGTTCGCATTTCCATAAGTGGGCAAAAATCGAAGGCTGTCGATAATATCAGTAAGTAAAATTTTTCATGCTACGTGAGAACCACTAGCACTGGCCTGCCGCAACCTTCCGCGCGAACGCAGCTGTACGCAGATTGCCATTCTACAGGCGGAACTTTAAATGTTAATAATAACTTTGTAACGAAGCCTCCATCAACTAATCGGTATTCTTGATTTTCGTCTTATTTTGGCCTCTAGAATCGCTCATTTAAATTTTTCCCAGGGGTAGCTGAACACCCTGTATATCCTGCGCTTTTCTCTAGAACTAGATTCAGACTCTGATTTTTGGCAGTTGCACGAACACGTAAAGTTTTAGTCTAAGACTACGAATAGCCAATTGTTTTTGTACACCGTTAGTCCACACAACCTAGCATTCCGACGTTTAATAAAGTGGTATTAAGAGGAATATAACATATCGTAGATCTACGAACGTGCAAAATGTGAAGCATATCAAGTGGCAATGGAAGTGGTGAAAGGATTCCACCGATTTTGAACAAGATCCTTCTTTGTCTGCATACCGTCGTAATGTGGCGTATCGTTCCGAACGCGTTTCTTTGCGCCCCCTCAATAAATGTCATCGCTTTTGGTGGTAAAGGGAGAACGCACGATGCCTTACACAGCATCCGAATATCCAGCGCTACTTCGTATGTGAATCTTACTTCGACGTCATGGACGTATAGCGCCGCGGTGGGACGGCTCAAGGAGTCGACGGTGGTTTTTGTCATCCACTACGTGCTCTGATAATTAAGACATTTCCATTTAGAGTTGACGTCCGGTGACGTGTAGAGCTGCACCGGGCGCGCGTACGTTTTCGGCGGTCCCCGTGTTACAGAAAAACCTAATCCTCATGCATTGTGTTGATAATTAATGGTGTATGATCGAGGGCCTCCGTTCCTGGAACGACGGAAGATCCGAACTCTGTAAGAAACGATACGTGTGTATCCACCGCGAGAAAGATTTATTAGTTTCGCGTGATAACGAAACAACCGCCTGTCAATATTCCTGTCTATATCGGCGCGGCATTTAAGGAAATAATTGGGCGTTTGTGTTTTGCGTATCCGGCACGAAGTTCGACTTCTCAAAGTATTGTTTTAAATTACTTTTTTTATCATTTGAATCCTTTAAAACGAGTTATATACAGGGTGTTCGGCCACACCTAGGAAACATTGTAATAGAAAATTTTTAGAGACAAAAATAGGACGAAAATTAAGAATGCCAATTTGTTGATGGAGACTTTGTTAAGAAGTAATTAACGTTTAAAGTTCCGCCATTACTGAATTTTTTTCACGAAAATGTGCAGGATTTTGGGGGTATGTCTATTCACCAAAAATGATTGTAATTGTCCCCTGCAACCGTAAACAATTTTTCCAGAACGATTTGAAATTTTTTTTTTCGTCAAAGAAATTCTGCACATACTCAAATTTTTTTCGCGAAAGTGGGTAGGATTTCGAAGGTATATCTATTGACCAAAAATGATTGTAATTAACTCCAGCAAACAAAAATAATTTTTTTAGAATGATTTGAAATTTTTTAATTTTGTCAAAAATATAGTTATCTATTAAAGGGAATACAAAAATTCAAAGTATAAGTTGCTTTTTCACGCGAAAAACGCCGAAAAATTCGGTTTTTCATTTTTGCTACTACGGCGCACCCTGCCAAAAAATCTGAAAAAATTCAGGGACATAACCAATGACAATATGCATTTACAGTAATTATATAAATCTAGTGTCTCGAAAGCTTCAATACGAAATCGGTATTTTTCTGCGTTTTTTTGCGTTTTTAATTTTTCACACCTAGGATTTGAAATCGAAAAATCGGAAAAAATTCTCAAACACGTATCTCAATAGTCGCAATGCACCAGATTTTTTTCATAATTTTTGTACTCGATTAAATAGAGGAAATAGGCAGAAATTCGTTAATCCGAATTTTCTCAATAACTACCCTTCCAAACAAGATAGAGGGTTAAAATTTGGCACAGAACGTTTTTTCTTGATGCTCTATCGATGGATCCATCGTATGTCACATTTCGTTCAAGGGCACATTTGACCCCCTTATTCGGCTATACCCTTTCAGCACATTCACGAATTTTTTTCTAGAAAATGAGTAAGTTTTTGGGGGTATGTCTATTGACCAAAAGTGATTGTAATTAACCCCCGCAATTGCAAATAATTTTTTTAGAATCATTTGAAATTTTTTAATTTAATTTTTTAATAACTTTTTAACGAAGCCTCAGTCAAGAAATTGATATTCTTGATTTTCGTTTTATTTTGGCCTCTATAATCTCCAATTAAAATTAAAATTATTTCGGTGTGGCCGAACACCCTGTATATTTCTATTAATCAGTATTTGCATAATAATATACAATCAGGGACAAAAGTAAGTGGACACATGATGAAAAAGAATATCAATGAAATTTAACCAATATGGCATTGCAATTACATGTTTAAGCTTCATTTAATATTCATCCTTAAAGTACATAGATTATTTGAATAACAATTCAAATAAATATTAACAATCGATGTATCCAAATTAGGTTTAAACAAAAAATCAAACAATTACAGAGAGACAGAAGGAAGTGGACACTACTAATAACTACTAATTAATATCGCGGCATACTGTTTACAAGAGTTTCTATCTAATCTTTGACAATAATGCCGAATACTAATTTTAAATTATTAAAAAATTCCATTTTACCCGTTCGCTTGTCCGAAGGAAGCCATCAATACACACCACAAATTCTCTATCGAATTCAACTCAAGACTCTGTGCTGGCCATTCGAGTAACTTAATATCTGAATCGCTAAAAAATTTCATACTCTTTTTAACAACATATTTTGAATCATTGTCCTGTAGAAAAATAAATTCTTCTTTCAAATTCATTTTTATTGTTACCTCTTCCAGATATTCATTGATTACACTAATATACTTATCAGCATTCATAATACCATCACTTGGTACTAACGTTCCAATCCCAGGCCAGGAAAAACAACCCCTCACCATTAATAAACCACCTCCTTTAATCGTTGGTGTGATAAATGATTTTTTGTATGTTTCATTTTTCTTTCTCCAGAGATTTTGCTTTTTCTTCAATTGTCGCATTTCAAATTTCCATATATTTCATTGAAATTTTTTTCTGAAGTAAAGCTCATAAATACCTACAAAAAAGTATTAAGCAACTTTTCCATGTAGCGTCAACTAAAGTAATTAAAAATGAAAAACGAATTTTTAAGAAAAATCGACAGGGTGTGGGTGCCTGAATTTTTCGACGAAAAAATAAAAAATTTCAAATCGTTCTAAAAAAATTGTTTTCTGTTGCGGGGGTCAATTACAATCATTTTTAATGAATACACATACCTCCAAAATCCTACGCACTTTCGAGAAAAAAATTCGAATAGGTAGATAAATTGTTCGACGATATTAAAATATTTCAAATCATACTAAAAAAATTATATTTAGTTGCAGGGGTTAATTACAAGCATCTTTGGTGAATAGACAGACCCCCGAAATATTACCCTCTTTCTAGAAAAAAAATCAATACGGGCGGAAATTTAAACGTTAATAACTTTTTAACGAAGCCTCAAGCAAGAAATTAGTATTAATATTCTTCTGACTCTCTGAGATTGGTTCATTTTTTGTATAAACTTAATTTCGGTTTACACCGATTGTTAATATTTATTTTAAATGTTATTTAAATAATTTATATACTATAAAGATAAATGTTAAATCAAACTTGAACTTGTAATTATGATGCTACAATAACTAAATTTCATTGATATTCATTTTCCACTTATTTTTGTCCTTAACTGTAAATAGATCATAAAACGTAAACGTTATTATAAACAAATATTAAAATCTACCAATTTTCAAAAACCTTGGAAGCCATAATTTACAGATTTCCTAGTAATGCATAAATTGTACACGTCTTTATTATATACAAATATGTAATTTTGTCAATTTAAAACAAAAATTGTAAATCACAATTAACAGATTTATAAGTAGTGCATAAATAATAAAATTATGTAAAGGTAACATTTGATTATTTATAAAATGTTAAATTTAAAAATTTCGAGTCAAAAGACAAAAAGTTTTTATCAAATTGAACTCTCGTTTAAATCGCCGACGATAGATAACAATTTTCACGTGAAACATGCGGCCATAAAAATATTAACGAGTATATCGTTTAATCGGTTCCATCGCTGGATTCTAAGCAAATGAATAATGAATCTGTTTTCAGACGTTACGCGCTTATATCCTTTGTTTTTTTTATATCAGCTTTAGCGATTGGTTCGTTCATTGTCAACATCCGTACTAAAAACATTGACTAGCTTTTCAGAGCTATAGGAATCAGCCAATGGTTGTTTACACTTTCCGCGCATGCGCAATAAGCGCAGTCAATGCGAACAAACTTAATGTTGACCGACGTGGATAGACGAGCGGCAAATAGCTCGACGTGCGAATTAATTTCGTTTAACGACAAGCAGCCGAGTTTATGGATATTAATTCAACCTGTCAGCTACATTATATTATCATGTGACGCCCAAGGAAACGATAACGGGTGAAAGTCTGCGGTTTGCAGCAAACATGAACATGTTTTAACATTTGCAGTATCATCTCCGGATCAGCTGTCATAAGCAGACGATACACAGGTAAAATTCACATTACAAGTAACAGTTTATTCGTTAAATCATCCACTAAATCATCTCAACATCTTCGTTCAAATAAAAATATAAATTCACCGTTGTTTCGTGATACAGAAATCTTTCTGTTTACAACTAGCCTTTTACCTAATTAGTATTTATATTATCATCGATTGGTTTAAATACTATAGTATTTCAAATATAATGGTACAGATTCTGCAATCTACATTTACGATTTTCTTTCAAAATTTTCTTACTGTAAGTAAATATTTAATTCCTACATGTATCTATTCTTTCTGTTGTTTCAGTATCAGCTGTTATTTATTGGATCATAAGGTCATGGAATTAAGTGAAACCAGTGTACAAATAAGAGATTGTTCCATAGATTTCATTCCTGTATACGTTAAACAAGAGAGCAATGAACGCGAAACAGATTTCAATGATATTGAAATAATTAATGCAGCTCAACATTTTTGTGCCATTGAAATTAAAGAAAGTAAAAGGTACAGCACAGTTATTGAAAACAAAGAATCGATTATAAATAATAAAGATTACATGCAAAATGCTAACTTAAATAATTTAATTTCTACGTTAAATTCTACGGAACAAAATGAAAATTATAACATTAATAGCATATTGAATGGATCAATGTATTTACAGAATTTAGACTATGAAAATGTGAACATAGAAATACAAAAACCAACAAGTCAAATTTCAGAAGTTTTTATTGATCACAATGAACAAATACAAACAGCTAATTATAGTATTTCTACGGTTACTATACCAAGCGAACTTTTAGGACTAAACCTTAATATAAAGAAAGAAGATGTAATAGATCAAGAAACGATCTATACTACAAAATGGTTATGCAATGTAGATAACGAAAGTGATCTTCCAACAAACGTTTCCAAAAATATCAAGAAACTGGTACAAGTTCCTATTGACTTTGAAGGTACAATAACACCATTAACAAAGCAGAGGAATCAAACTTTAGAAAATGCCAGTAACTTGAAAACTAAGGAAAGTAAACATGAAAAATCTACAAGGCAATTGAAAATAAGATCATTACAGGATTATAAAGAAAAGTTACGAAGAAAAGCAGAGTGCATGAGAGAAAAGAGAAAAAAATTATATGAACAGGAAAGCGAAGATCAACGTCTGCAGAGATTAGCAAAGGAAGCAGCGAAAAGGCGAGAGATGAGAATGTATTATGAAACGCCAGAACAAAGAAGGAAAAGATTGGATGCGGAAGCAGCAAGAAAAAGAGAATACAGAATGTACAATGAAACACCTGAAGACAGAAGGAAAAGACTAGATCGTGAAGCAGAGAGAAGAAGAATGAAAAGGCTTTCGTTATATGCTACCGAAACTCCTGAAGAAAGGAGAGAGAGATTAAATAGAGAATCTGCAAAACGAAGAGAAGCTCGACTGAATCAGTATGCTAAAGAAACGCAAGAAGAAAGAAAAGAAAGACTAAGGAGAGATGCCTTGAGAGTTAGAGAAATGAGATTTACTAGGTCTGCTATTGAAACAGAAGAGGAACGCAGGCAAAGGTTAGTAAAAGATGCTCTTCGAAAAAGGGAGGTAAGAATGCATGGAGGCCATTCAGAGAATAATAATTTCACTGAACTTCAAACCGTTCGTAATTTTGAAGAATTAAACAATGTGCAGATAAAGGAAAATCCTGATAGTCAATTGGGAGGTCATTATTTGAGCAACTGGATGATGTGGTTCCAGAACTCATTAACTCAACCAGTTCATGTTGGAGAACAAATCAGCAAACCTCAGACAGAAAATGCTGGATAAAAAATTTCATATGTATTTTAGTATTTTACATATAATTTCTGAACATTCGCATGCATAATAGAACTATACAGTGACTAAACTATATGCGTTTCGTATGTATAAGCTTTTGATACTACATTTATGCTTGAAATACAGTGACAAAATGTAAAAAATAACTGCTGCAGCTCTTGTATCAACATACTGTTAACTGCATAAGACATGTTAGCAATAGTTCTCATATAGTATACAACTTAATTTGTAATATTTATATAATTTATCATCAACTATGATTACGATATTGTACGTTGATGAAGTGTAAAAATCTGTTATTATATATATAATAGAGAATTTACCAATTAATAGATAATGCACACCCTTGAAAGATTCAATACTGTTGATGCGGTAACTTGAAAGCTTTTGTCCCCTTAAAAGATGTACAAAGTATAGTAAAATTATTGTGATGTTATAATATTTAATGGAAATAGAAGAAGATTGTTGAAGTGTCAATATTGTAAAAAATTAAAATTATACGTTTGAAAGATAACAAAATAATTCGTAACAGTGCCTTTTTGTTCACTGTTTTACAAAAGTAATTTATAATGCGATTCAAGCAATTTATACATATGTGCATAACTTAGGCACGAGTGAACATTGAATGATTCTGATGACAATTTGACTGTTTCTCAAAATATGTGTATGTACATTATAATGTAATTTTTTCTACAGTTCCTTTATATTAAATAATACAAGAAAACATTGTCATGTAATTCTATCAAATTTGTTAAATATTCCATTGTCCTTTCTTGTAATTTTTCTTTTCCCCTGCGATTTATAAAAAATATATCGTAGTCGAGAAATTTAATTTTATGAAAAACATTTTAAAATTCTTAGTGATGCTTCAGCTATTAAAGAACTATTTTCTTAATATGCGTATATATGTACTTATATGTATATACGTATTTGTTAATATAATTGCACTTCAAAAGATAAACGAAATTCAATGAATTATATTAAAGTTTTATATTCTCATCTCAAAATCTGATTAAATTTTTAACAAACTCTCTTCATAGTTAATGAACGTTAGATATGTCACAATTCCTTCTTTTATAATACCTTATAACTGCTTCAAACATTTTTCGAATCTAATTAATATCTAATTAAGTTTTACAACCATTTGCCAACACATTTTTTCATGTAATTAATTAGTAATAAACGGTTACTGGAAGCGATAGTTGTTTAAACCATCGCGCTAAAAATTTTTAAATACGTGGTGCCATCTATGAATTGGGATTCGAATTATTGAAAAATAACAGGATCATAGCATGGAAAAGGAGGTCGACGATACTAAAAAGAGAGAGCGATACTTTGTGCGAGAGACAGAGAGATATTCCCACCGCGCCAAGTCGATTAATCGATCCGCAGCTTGATTATTCACTAATTATTCTTTTCCTGTGATTAATTTATGAACTCTTATAATTTAATAATATAGTATAGACCTTTGGCAATATTCAAGGATACTTTTTATAACCATTCTGTTCGTAATTAAATAGTTATTAACAAATATCAGAAGTCGGCAAATTTGTTCGAATTTATTAAAGTAACGACTTAGAGAACAATCACTAATAACTAATTAATTTAAGCGAGCAAATAATTCATCGATTAAAGCAGACAGTAATAGAATCATAAATATTCCGACTTCCAATATTTGTTAATAGCTTCTTAAATATAAGCAAAGTGGTTATAAAAAGTATCCTTCAATATTGTCAAGGGTCTATACTAGATTGTTAAATTCTAAAAGTTCATAATTTAATCACAGCAAAATAGTAATTAATGAATAATCAAGCCGTGATTTGATTAATCGAATCGGCGAGAATATCTCTCTATCTCTCTTGCACAGTATTGCTCTCTTTCTAACGCCGTCAACCTCTTTTCCTATTCTATGATCCTGTTATTTTTCAATAATTCAAATGCCAATTCATAGATAGCGTGGTGCAGAGATGCCAGAAAAGCACCGTCGGGTGCACACGTACACATGCCAGATACGCGTACGTGAGCTCGTGGAGTTTCGGAAAGTCGACAAAGGCAAACTGACGCATGCCCTCTTTCTCGATTCTCCGAAGCTGCCCGAAGTAATTTCGGATCGCCTCGTGGGAGTCGAGAGAGAAAGGCTCACATTTGCCTTCTCGCTCTAAACAACTGAAATCCGACCTCCCGTCAACGGTATACGATTTGGATTCTCGAGCCGAGATTCTCGACTGCCCAGGCATTTTTACTTTCCGACCTATGTAGGCGCACATAAGCAAAGTACCCATAATGAAAAAAAAATTTTGTAAAATTTATTTTACGGAAATACACGTTTTAAGACCTCCTGATCATATTTTAATTATTGAAAAAAAAGAAATTTTTTTTTATTCCCATGTATGAGCACACATATGTATATTATTAATACGATTGAATATAAATAGCTGAATGAATTTAAATGAAACTTTACATTTAAGTTTTATGTTCTCATTTCAAAGGCGTGTGGACGGATTCAAATACGTGAACACTAAACGTAACGATGTAATTATATTATTTAATATTTACTAACTATTTAACATAAAGAACATAAAAGAAAGACATAAAACGTAAACGTAAAAGATCATAAACGTAAAACTGTGATTGCTCTCGACTAACGTTCGATACAGAGTGACGTTCCTGCAGTCAAAGTCGACCCTTCCTTATTCCTATCTTATAATAATGATCTAAACAAAACGCACGTTCGAGACGCAGTCTCTAAAACGTATTTCAGCTTAAACCTAAACACCTCACTCGATACCTACTCTAGCTTAGACTAAACACTCCTATCGACGCAAACGATAACGGTTCTCCTAGCCACACACATACACTCCTTACAGATTATACCTCTTGTTCCATAGTTGTTCCGATATATAGTCATAATGTATAAAAAATCTTTTAAATGTTTCATATAAATCTTAGGACGAATTAAATTTTATATAAAAAAAATTATATAAACTTTTTCTCTATCTTCTCTAGAAAAGAAAAAATTAAATGAAATCTTATACATTACATGCTTACTTAAATCGCATTGAAAACGAATACCACAAATGTTTTAGAATAATGTGCAAAATGTGATTGCGATTTTCGCTAAGACAAATTGAAAACTCAGTTCTAACAAGGAAAAGTTGGAATGGTACCCGATTTTGGGTTAGGTTTTACTTTGAGATATTATTAAAGTTATTACAGGAACTTATTTTCAGAAATAGAACTATGTTCACCACTAATCAGCGTGGCGTGAGTGATGAGGTCTTTGCCTGCAAGTTCCGAACTTCTTCTGCTCTGCTGGTTCGAACCCTGCTTGAACTTTTTTTTTTTATTTTTTCAATCATACTTTAATCGTACACTAAATATGACATTATATTTTTGTCTGACCTTCGAATATTTTTTTTTAAAGTAAAATTTAACCGATTACATTTAACATATGTTATTTTCAATGTACGAAGTACATGAATCTGGATGGTACTTTTCACAAAAACAGTCAAAACATAAAAATTTCAAGCACCACGTACATTTACTGAAAGTTTTGTTTTCACAGAAATTACAAAATTTTGTATTTAACTCTGATGGAAAGGCCGCTTCATTTACATTCATGTGCTCATACATGGGAATAAAAAAAAATTTCTTTTTTTTCAATAATTAAAATATGATCAGGAGGTCTTAAAACGTGTATTTCCGTAAAATAAATTTTACAAAATTTTTTTTTCATTATGGGTACTTTGCTTATGTGCGCCTACATAGGTCGGAAAGTAAAAATGCCTGGGCAGTCGAGAATCTCGGCTCGAGAATCCAAATCGTATACCGTTGACGGGAGGTCGGATTTCAGTTGTTTAGAGCGAGAAGGCAAATGTGAGCCTTTCTCTCTCGACTCCCACGAGGCGATCCGAAATTACTTCGGGCAGCTTCGGAGAATCGAGAAAGAGGGCATGCGTCAGTTTGCCTTTGTCGACTTTCCGAAACTCCACGAGCTCATGTACGCGTATCTGGCATGTGTGCGTGTGCACCCGGCGGTGGTTTTCTGGCATCTCTGACCATGTGCGACTTTAACCTAGAATATGAAACAAGCTTTTAAGTATTACATGAATCATAGAACATTTTTAAAATAGTTTGTGATTGTTCAGGAAATATTTTCATATAGAAAATGTCGATCATGAAATACTCTTTTAAAATAGATATTATACATTTAATATGAGACAAGAGGGATAATACTTTCATACATAAAAATAAAATTTGTCCTTCTTACTTTTATTTAATAAATAAAAAATGGGTTTAACAAAGCAATATTTGAGATATGTACCGGCTGGGAACTCAAATATAATTGCCAGCACTTCTTGTAATATTGTTTTTGTAACATTACAAGGGCAAGAAGGCAGATTTGTTGCAGTTGGAGCATGTGAACATGTTTTTGTATGGGATTTACGTCTAGGAGAAAAGGTAAAGAACAAAGTATATTCGCTATCGTATACAAAATTATGAAAAATTTCACAAATACAGTACTTGAAATTTCTATAACAATGTTAATATTTTGAATAGGTATGGCAAGAATTTTGATAATAATATCAAAGAAATGTTAAGAAATAATTATGTAATAGAAAGCAGAGAACTTATCTATAGCATTTAAAAATGCTATGTTACTTCTGTTAAAGCGTAATGAAATTTGTACAAAACTTTTAAATTTGTCTCAAAAAACTAAATTTGTAATGTTAATAAGCGATAATGCTACAATTGTTTTATTAGTCAAAATATTTTGTTTTTTGTATTAACTAATTTTTGCAATTTTTTTATAATTTATAGTAATGATTTTTGTAATTTTTCAACTTGGTTTCACACTTATCTAACTGAATTCTTTAGTTGTTGAATGTTGTTACATATTGATCTTAAACTTGTCGATTTTTATTTGCAAGGTAAATTTTTAAACTTGATCATCTCAAAAACTACATCAAAAATGAAGAAAATTTCTTCTTAGTTTTTCATAAGAAATCACTTTCTGTTCGCTTATAGATATTATTTAGTTGCACCCTGTATGTTTTTTATTATTTAGTGGCTGAATCTTATTTACAGCAAAACATTTGATTATTTTTAAATTCAATGTATAAAATTACATAGAAAAAAATTGGAAAAAAATGATTTTACGGTGTTGACCAAAATCACAAAATTTTTAAGAATTACATGTGCCATTACAATATTTGTTTTAGGCTCAAGTATTATCAGGAGATAAAGTAAATGTATCGTATTTGGCGGCATCTCCTAACCAACGACATATAGCAGTTGGTTATACGGATGGTTCTGTGAAAACATTTGACTTACGGTCCGGAGAAAATATAAGTGTATTCGTAGGTCATCGATCTGAAATTACAACTTTGGTATATGATAAACAGGGGCATAGATTAGCTTCTGGTGCAAAAGTAAAATATTTTGCTTCATGAAATTTATATAATAATTAAGTTCCTACAATACTCATTTCCATTTACTATTTTCTAGGATACAGATATTATCGTTTGGGACATAGTAGCAGAAACTGGAATATGTCGATTAAGTGGACATAAAGGTGTTATAACTAAACTGGCATTTATGAAAGATCGCAATATTCTTATCAGTGCTAGTAAAGACACTTTTGTAAAATTTTGGGATTTAGATACAGAACACAATTTCAGAACCCTCGTTGGTCACAGAACAGAGGTAAATATTATTTAAAATATACAGAATGAAGCACTAAAATAAATGTTATTGAGGTGACCTATCTTAAAGGCTTCACCCCATAGATATAGTTAACACGTTCGCTACCACGCGTCACATATTTGTGACACGTCGGATTTTGTCACAGCCAACATCACACATGTGTGACAGCAATAGTTTATTTTATTTTATAACCATATAAACTATCGATCATTATCACATTATGTAAACGACTACATTCATAATACAGAGTGTTCGGCCACCCCTGGCAAAAATTTTAATGGAAGAATCTAGACTCTGAATTATTTTCTAGAAAGTGGGTAGGATTTCGTCGGTAGGTCTATTCACCAAAAATTATTGTAATTGACTCCTGTAACCGAAAATAATTTTTCCAGAACGATTTGAAATTTTTTAATTTTGTCGAAAACTTTCACACCTTCTCGAATTTTTTTCTCGAAAATGGGTAGAATTTCGAGAGTATGTATAATGACCAAAAATGATTGTAATTGAACACCACAACCGAAAATAATTTTTCCAGAACGATTTGAAATTTTTTTTTCGCCAACAAATTTAAGCACCTACTACCCCCTGTCGATTTTTCTTAAAAATTTGTTTTTCAATTTTAATAAATTTGTTTGACGCTCTACAGAAAAGTTGTCTAATACTTTTTTGTAGGTACCCATGGGCTCTGCTTCAGAAAAATATTTCAATGAGATACCTTTACTATTGTAGGAATTGGACCAGTTTGAAATTTTTTAATAACTTTTTAATGAAGCCTCAATCAAGAAATTGATATTCTTGATTTTCGTCGTATTTTGGCATGTAGAATCTTCTATTAAAATTTTTCCCAGGTATGGCCGAACGCCCTGTATAGTTGGCCTCTTAAATACATTTCATTTATACATAATTGAAAGCATGCACTGCATTGAATAATATTACTACAATATAGTGTGGTCTGTGGCAGACAGTTTTCCAACTGAATGATGGTAACGAATATGTTAATTTTAATTTCTTTACAGAATTATTAATAAGAATGCTTTCATTAATCAAGGTTTGGAGTCTTACTTTAGCCAAAAATGACGAATATTTAATAACTGGTTGTAACGATACTGAATTATATGTGTGGAAAATATTTTTTACTGATAGTGGAACTACAGATTTTGAAATTAATTTGCAAGATTTAAATATCGCCGATGATTCCGAAATTAGCAACATGGTATATTTTTGTTAAATTATATTTGCATTTAGCAATACACATACTATTCTATGTATTTAATGAATATGTTATATTTTGTCAGAGATATCCTTTAGGATGTAAGAAAGCTGGAAGTATATTGAGGAGCAGTCGTGGAAGGGTTGTGTCTCTTGAAATTGATACAACACATACTGTTATAGGATGTCATGGCGTAGACAATACTGTAGAATTATTTCAATTTTTACCTGATGACAAAGTAAAAGATAATGTGGTGAAACGATTACGGAAAACAAGGAAAAAAGCAGAAATGTGTGGAAAGATGTTTCTGTACTATATTAATATTAATTATTTATTAATATTTAAATGTTTTTTAATATAATATATGTATTTTACGAATAGAAGCGGAAACAACACGGAAGCAGATTTTTCAGGTGTACCGACAATAAGGGATGAAATCATTCGTTTACCTGTTATTAAAGTGTCTGCTAAAGCGAAAGGACTAAATATAGTGATGGGTGGAGGAGGAGAACTCAGAGTATGTTACGTAAAAAAGATCTGATTAAAGAATAGTTTGATTAACTAATTTCTATATTATCGTTTCAGGTATGCGTTGGGTTAAATAATAATTCTATCGACTTATATTCCCTGTTTACGCAAGAGAAAGATGCCGAAGTAAAACATTTAAGATCAATAACTAGTCATGGTCACCGTACAGATGTTCGTTCAGTTTGTTTCAGTTCTGATAATTTGGCTTTTGTAACGACAAGTGGAGATTCTGTGAAATTATGGAACAGGTATTAAAACATAATGCAAAAGCTTTTCAAAAAATCTTAACAGAATTTTATACTTTCTTCTTCCTTTTAGGCCAACACTAGCATGTTTACGCACTGTTCAGTGTGGTTATGCTTTAACGGCAACATTTGTACCAGGCGACAGACATATAGTAGTTGGTTTAAAAGATGGTAAAATGCTGATTATCAATATTGCATCAGGTGATATTTTAGAAGAAGTTCCAGCACATTCCAAGGAACTTTGGAGTGTTACACTATTTCCTGATATGGTGATTTTAAACAACTTATATTTAATCTTTTCAATATTATCTATTATTCAAAATGTTATATTTTATCATTATTTCATAGCCATAATATATATTTTTGGTTTCTTTTTACCGTATAGAAAGGAGTAGCAAGCGGAGGAGGAGACCAAACTGTCAAATTTTGGAATTTTGAACTTATTCAAGATCCTGATAAGGAAATAAAGGCCAAAATTTTGTCCGTTTTACATACGAGAACTTTAAAATTGGAGGACAGTGTATTATGTGTCAGAATAAGTCCTAATAATAGATTTGTTGCAGTAGCGCTGCTTGATTCTACTGTAAAAATCTTTTTCCTTGATACGTTTAAGGTGATTATGTATAAAATCCATGTATAATTTTATGTTTAGTTTACCAAATGATTCGAAATGATAGGTATATAATGTTTTTTTAGTTTTTCATTTCACTTTATGGTCATAAATTGCCAGTTTTGTGCATGGACATATCTAGTGACTCGACGCTCATCGCCACTGGTTCTGCTGACCGAAATATAAAAATTTGGGGTTTAGATTTTGGAGATTGTCACAAATCGATATTTGCGCACGATGACTCCGTAACAGGACTTTCATTTGTACCTAATACTCATTACATATTTACTTGTGGGAAAGATGGAAAAGTAAAAGAATGGAATGTCGATAATTTTCAAAAAATTGTGACATTACAAGTAATTAATTTTCTTTAAATAATACTTCACAATATTATGATAAAGACGTTAATGACTCCAATTTGAAATCGCACAACACTGATTTACTCAGGGACATTCAGGAGAAGCATGGAATTGTGCTGTTTCACCGAATGGTATTTATGTTATATCCTGTGGATCTGATAAAGTAGTTAGAATGTATGAACGAACCACGGAACCTTTAGTCCTACAAGATGAAGAAGAGGAAGAAAGAGAACGTCAAGAAAATGAGTTAGTTACTGGTGAAACCACGGTTGTCCCCGGACAAAAGCCACAATCTTTACCTTCAAGAAAAACTGTGTCTAGTGAGAGAGGGGTAAATATTAATAAATTATATAAATCGGTCGATTTGCTCACGAACATTGTTCAAATTATGTATTTTTTAGGCTGAATTGATACTGGAATGTTTGGATATATCTAAAACATTCAATGAACAGTTATCGAAAGTAACATCATCAAATACAGCGCCTGTTGTTCCTTTACAAATGCAAGCTTACAATTGTACGACTGTAGAGGATTATCTATTGGAAACAATTAAGCGAATTAGAGCAAGGTAACAATAGAACGAATCGAAACATGTGAATTCCTTGTGTAAAGGGAAATCGAAAAACCCATTACCATTCGGCGATCCAAGGCTTCGTTATTTAGATACAAGCGCTTCTGATTTCACATATTTATTAACGCCCTATATATTACACGGACATTAATAATACAAATAAATTACATAATAAAATAATCATTTTTAGCGATTTGGAAGAAACGTTACTATTGTTGCCATATTCAGCCGCCTGTGAAATTCTCCAAATGCTTCCCAAACTATTAGAATCAGATTATCACACAGAGTTACTTGCAAGATTAGCATTATGCCTAGTACAAGCTCACCATGGTCCAATTGTGGCTACCCAAGAACTTTTACCTACTTTAGAAACTGTCAAAACACTTACTATGAAAAAGGTTTCAGAACTGAGAGTAAGAAACATTGTTTATATAAGTTATAATTGAATAATTGTCTATAAAATTTAATTTGATTTAAACTCAATTCTTTTAGGATACAGTTGGATTCAATCTACATGGAATGTTACATATGCAACGTGTTATCGAAGAAAAGGAAGGAATCCAACTTTTCACGGATGCAACTAAAAGCAGTAAACATAAGAATAGAGCCAGAAGAAATAAAGAAAAAGCAGTGAAAAGAGCAATCATGTCCTTATAAAACTTAATAATGATACGAATGTTTTGTACATATTAAAAATACTAAATATAAAAATGTTGGTTACTTTTTCTTACTGTATAGTAAAATTGTTTTGCAATATGAAAATTTTGCTCGAATAATGATTTAAGAATTAATTAATATAATACATTAATAAACAATTCTAAAAACGTATACACAAGTTATATATAATTTAAATAAAACTTAATTTTTGCACATCATTATCTTTGATAAAATTTAATATTGTCATATATATTTGTGTGACTCACTTCGATAATTTTAACGATTCATAAACTTTGTTGCATCTAATTTGCATACATAAATCTGTCATAAACGACGTTACATGAGATTCCTTATCTCTCTGTTTACCACTTTCAAACACAGTGACAAGTGTCATTCTGGGGTCAGTATTATACATGGCATATACACATGAATCCTGAAAAACAGATCAATTTATACAATTATATGTACACAATTTATCAAATTTCATCTAATAATATACCTTTACATTTTTACTATAAATAATTTTATCCATAGAAAGAAGTTCTGCTTGTCGTTCTTTAATTCGTTTCTGTATATTTTCTAGATGAGTCGACGAATTTTGTACAAACATCTGAAACGATGATAAAAGTGCTATACGAATATTTCTTTATAAGACTGCAATATCTTCTACAAATTATACTATACACAATATATTAAATCTACTTTTTATATTCTATAAGTTATACAAACTTACACCAGGGCAACTGAGGACAACAGGGAAATGTTCAGAAGTATTTGGCTCCCTGCGAGGATGTCTATAACCTGGTCCTGAATCTTCTACTCCTCTAGAGTCAAATATTATTAAAACTGCTAAAACATCATGTTTACGTTGGAAACTTTGTATTCTGAAATAAAAATATATTAATTTTCTGCAAACAACAATTTATTTAAGTAATACTACTTAAAGATGTATTACTTATGATAGTAATCCACATTTTGCTTGCTCATGATGCTTCTCATTTCTCCTGGACTAGCCTGTTGACTTAAAGTAGTGTGGAAATATAAAGAGCATTTAGCTAATATATTACTGCGTAGTTTCACTAACCATTGGTACAATGCTGGTTGCTGATTTGCTTTTAAAAAAGTTGCACCAAAACCTAATTTCCAAGACTAAAACCATTATATTTGAAAATTAAATGTTTTTACTTATTTTAAGTTTCTACATACATTACCGACCTCTTTGTTTTGCAAAGTTCTTTCCCAAGCCGACATTCGTGCTTGCGCGCCGTAAAGAGACATTAACGTTGATAAAAATCTCCAATGTTGGAGCTCAACTTGTGCTTTCGTTAGTTGCACTAATATTTCACACTCTAACCTGATAAAAATATATTTTAATTCATAAAAGATAATCTCCACGGTCGCAATCTCTATTCTTTAATTGATAACAATTTGTTTTTGTTTTTACTTACGTTAAGCTTGTCTTAAATGCAGTTAACGCTAAATGTGAACAAGACAAAGAATGACTTTCCACTATTCCTTCTATGTACTGCAATAATTCTTGGTATTTCATAACTTTACTATTTATACTCATATTGTACATTTTTTCATAGCTATAATACAATAATGTTGCATAAGATTTTAAACAACAACTTAGAACAATAATATACTAACAAATCTATTAGCTGTATTTTTGCTGTAATATATTGGCACAGTTGATTAGAAACCTCTGCAACCGTTGCACCAATAGAGTTGGTACCCCTAGTCATTTCTTCCATTCTTTTTAGATCAGACTTCAACAATTCATATACTGTTCTTAAGGAATTCTACATAAATTGAAACAAAATATTAAATAAATATAATAAATTATTTGTTTTCATATGAATTAAAGCATTAATATACTTACATCTTTCCTTAAAAATCCTTTATTTTTAGTATGAAGAAAACCCATATCTGCATATGAATGTTCCGCTACTGCTATTTGTGGTAAATGCATAAGTAACATACCCCATGGACCCATCTGTGTTTGACGGCATGATCCACGTTCCTTTTCCTATTCATTATTAAATAATAATTCAATGCCTTGTATAAAATATAGCATCTATAACGTGTTGTAGCTTACAAACATATTCAATGAAGCAAATATCATTAAAATATTTAACATACGAAATTTGCTGAAAAATTATGCTGATTATAGTTGCATATTAAATTTTATAAAATCATTATCTTTTTCATATAATTTTATGATACAGAAAGAAAATTATAAAAATTATTTATGAAACTCTTACATGCTTTACACAAAACGAAAAAAGATAAAAGCGCAACTTCAGTTTAAATTTATTATGCATAAGACATAAATGGAAACAACTAAAAGCAACTTTTGATCATTCGACCTAACTCAAGGTTTTGAGACGAATAAAAAAACATTTCATTAAAAAGATACTACTAACTATAAAAGAAATAAAACCATATCATTGGTGTGTTATATATAGTATAAAAAAAGATAACCTAAGAAAACAACTAAAAAAAAATACTCAATTCTATTGTAAAGATTACAATGTGGAATTACAATTTATGTAAAATAACATATCTTGTAATAAAGTCATGTACACATACTAATATAGATACGTAAACATTTATATCAGTTCTATCATTTTTCTAAACAAAACACGCTTATTTATAACTTGCTTTCATTTTTGTTACATTAAAGTAACATATCTAAATAATCCATAAAGTAAAAAAGGTTGATAATATTTGGGCTAATTTTGTTAAAGCATTGGCAAGGGATTAATAGCAAATTTAAGGAAAAGCACAATGTTTTCTTGTATCTAATAACCACTTACAATTAACTCCTTGGCTTTGTCTGTACACAATTGTGCAACTTGAGTGAAAAAAGTGTTAAGAAACTCTTCTTCGTGATCCATTTTTTACATAATTTTATTATACAACTATAAAACCAGACACGTTTAGTTTAAGCATTAATGCATCTAAGGTTATGTTACCCTTAACAACACGTACATACTAAGTATTAGTGGTGGGATATGGGATTTCGAATGTCGAATCGAATCGCTTCATATTTCATTCTGCGTTGCATGTTGCAACTTGCAACTTGCAACATAGATTGGAACAGTGATGCCAGAAAAGCACCGTCGGGTGCACACTCACACATGCTAGATACGCGTACGTGAGCTCGTGGAGTTTCGGAAAGACGACAAAGGCAAACTGACGCATGCCCTCTTTCTCGATTCTCCGAAGCTGCCCGAAGTAATTTCGGACCGCTTCGTGGGAGTCGAGAGAGAAAGGCTCACATTTGCCTTCTCGCTCTTAACAACTGAAATCCGACCTCCAGTCAACGGCATACGATTTGGATTCTCGAGCCGAGATTCTCGACTGCCCAGGCATTTTTACTTTCCGACCTATGTAGGCGCACATAAGCAAAGTACCCATAATGAAAAAAAAATTTTGTAAAATTTATTTTACGGAAATACACGTTTTAAGACCTCCTGATCATATTTTAATTATTGAAAAAAAAGAAATTTTTTTTTATTCCCATGTATGAGCGCACATATGTATATTATTAATACGATTGAGTATAAATAGCTAAATGAATTTAAATGAAATTTTACATTTAAGTTTTATGTTCTCATTTCAAAGTCCGGTTAGACTTTGACTATAATCAGTCCATGGATAATAATGATTATACCTCTTGTTTCATAGTTGTTCCGATATATGTATAGGCATAATGTATAAAAAATCTTTTAAATGTTTCATATAAATCTTAGGACGAATTAAATTTTATATATGTTAGATAGACGCGTAGAATGGAATTAGGAATTAAGAAATACGCAGGGTATTCGTATACATGCTTTATTCCCGTTCTTTCAGCGTCGGAAAAACAAATGAGCCCGTCCTGGGCCTAGACCCTCGCCTTTGTCGTCAGCCTTCTCCCCCATCGGTAGGGGTGGGAGTGTTGACGGACGAAGGCCAGACGCGGTCCCTTGCCAGCGCAGCGCCTCGGCTTGGCCCTCGCCTTTTCCCGACGCGTTACATATAAAAAAAATTATATAAACTTTTTCTCTATCTTCTCTAGAAAAGAAAAAATTAAATGAAATCTTATACATTACATGCTTACTTAAATCGCATTGAAAACGAATACCACAAATGTTTTAGAACAATGTGCAAAATGTGATTACGATTTTCGCTAAGACAAATTGAAAACTCGGTTCTAACAAGGAAAAGTTGGAATGGTACTGTAGCGACCGGTCGTGCGCACATGGGAAAGTTTTTCTCTCGTGCAAACGGCCCACGTAATTTACGACTCTCGTTCGTCGAAGCTGTTTTTGAGGAAGATATTTTCCAGACTCGCGTATCGAATGCGTTTAGTAAATTCTTTTCCTAAGTCCCTCAACAGCAAATAGAGACCGTCGTAAATTAGGGATTTCCAGAGGACACTCGACGCGTACCCATCGGAGTTTCGCAAAGTGGGCCCAGCGCGGGTGGTCCGAAGGAAATCTTGCAGTGAGGGCGCAACGTCGTCCCCCTCAATCACCACGCCGTTTCGAAAACAAGCACGCCGTGGGCGTAAGAAATAGGCGGTGATTTGGGAAAAATAAACGGCCCTGATTGGAAAGGCCCAACGCGTGGGGTTAACCAATCAGGGTTGTTTAACAATTTTGCCAGTGCAACCGAGGGGTCGACACGGAGCCGAGCGAGGAATAACTACACTTGGTTTTGCGCGCTCTATCCGAGAACAACGGAAAATAAAGAAAGATTTGTCACCCCACAAGAAGTGTAGTTCCTACAACAACCTATCCCAACAGTACCCGATTTTGGGTTAGGTTTTACTTTGAGATATTATTAAAGTTATTACAGATACTTATCTTCAGAAATAGAAATACATTCAACAACCAGCGTGGCGTGAATGACAAGGTATTTTCTTGCAAGTTCCGAGCTTCTTCTGCTCTGCAGGTTCAAACCCTGCCAAAACAAATCCTTTTTTTTTATTTTTTCAATTATATTTTAATCGTACACTAAATGTGACATTATATTTTTGTCTGACCTTCGAATATTTTTTTTTTAAAGTTGAATTTAACCAATTACATTTAACATATGTTATTTTCAATGTACGAAGTACATGAATCTGGATGGTACTTTTCGTAAAAACAGTGAAAACATAACAATTTTAAGCACTACCTACATCTAATGAAAGTTCTGTTTTCACAGAAATTACAAAATTTTGTATTTAACTCTGATGGAAAGGCCGCTTCATTTACATTGATAAAATGTGAACGATTTGCGGATAGTGTAGGGGAGTGGGACATAGTGCACGATGTCCGTGGTTTGGATCGTGTGTGAGAGTGGGGGGTTGCGAGCGGGACATGAGTGGTAGGGTTAAAAAGACAAGAGCGATTAGCGTTTGGTGATTATTCGAGTTTGTGACGTGTGAGCGAGCGGTGTGTCCGACAAATTAGTTAATTATCCTACAATAGTCGTACCTCGTAGCTCGTACTTTTTACCTTATACTTCAGGTAAAAAGGGATATAACTGGGACAAACAGTTTTATGACATTACCTGCTAACTCATGTTACTGTTCTACAATGAAACGCTATGTTTTGTACCTTTAAAAATATTCGACTATGTCCTTTTAAAATTTAAGATCCAAACCATACTTTGTATTAAACTGGCAAACGGGATCAATTTTCCTTTGTTTCTAGTTAGTTCTATTTAGTTCGTCATAACAAATTGATACGGTTATCTCAAAACAATCGAGGAAAATCATTATTAATTAATTTCTGCAATTATTAATTCTACTGTTTTGTTTATGTTATAAAAGTAAGAACTCTTCTTATTGAAAAGTGCCACACATGCACAATACTGGTAAAGAGTGGAATCTCATTTTAATTTATTAATTTTCAATCATAAAGTATTTTGATTTTCAAAAATCGTATTAATAATATACATATGTGCGCTCATACATGGGACTAATAAAAAAAATTACTTTTTTTTAAATAATTAAAATATGATCAGGGGGTCTTATAACGTGTATTTCCGTAAAATAAATTTTACAAAATTTTTTTTTCATTATGGGTACTTTGCTTACGTGCGCCTACATACAGTTACTCACAAAATTGAGCGTACACCTATGTAGTTAATAAAAACTGGTGGGAAAATGAACATAAACGGACATATTTAAAAGTAAAAATATAATATTTATTTTGTTCATATATTTTGACGGACAATTAGTGGAAAAAGTCTTAAATAAAATTAATTATTCATTTCTATTTAGCAAAAGCAACAAAACTGTTCTTGTTTTAGTGTCACAAAATTGAGCATACAGCAGATCAAATTAAACAAAAATAACTAACAGATTTTATTTTAATATTTTGTTGCAAATCCTTTTGCATCTATAACTGCTCTCAAACGTTTTGGGATAGACTCGACTAACGTTTCTGTAGTCGAACACGGAATATTATTCCATATTTCTACTATTTTGCGTTTAGCATCTGTTTTATTACTATAACTACATTTATTTAATTGTAATTTTAATTCTCGCCACAAATTCTCAATGGGATTAATATCCGGCGATTGTGGTGAAGTGTGTAATAATTTTGGCACGTTATATAGCAGTCACTCTTTAACAATATACGATGTATGTTTAGGATCATTGTCCTGTTGGAAATAATATATGGCTGGCATGTTTAATTTTAGAGCTGACGATTTCAAATTTTTTTTCAAAATATCAAGATATTTTAGTTTGTCTATAGTTGTTTCAATAAATTCGTTATTACCAACTCCAGTTGCTGCCATACATCCCCACAGCATTATTGAACCTCCGCCGTGTTTTACAGTAGGAACCGTATTCTTTTGATTGAACTCTGAATTCAGTTGTCTCTATACTATTATTTTTCCATCCGAATTAAATAAATTAATTTTAACTTTGTCGGAAAATATTACGTTCTTTCAAAAATTTATATCACAACTTACATATTTTTTTGCAAATTCCAAACGCTTGATTCTATTCACCTTAGAAATATAAGGCTTCTTCCTTGCTACCCTACCGTGATAGCCTTTATCGCATAGCACCCTACGAACAGTTTCTGTCGATATCGATTTTCTAATCCTCGATGAAACATCTGTTGTTAATTTTGGTACACTACTTTTTGGATTAATTTTAATTTGTCGTATTATGTACCGTTCGTCAGTTCCAGTCAGAATTTTTTTCCTTCCGCGTCCTGGCTGATTATGCAGTGTACCATTGTATTTGTAATTGTTAATAATTTTTTGTACAGTAGAGTGGGCTCTACCTATTGTTTTTCCAATTTGCCTTAGAGATTTACCTTGACAATACAATTTGACAACTAATTTTCGCACAGAAATATCAGTTTCTGAGCTTTGTGAAGCCATAGCGCAAATTTTCGCTAATAAACAATGACAAATAAAAATCAAACGTATCATAGCAACGGAACTATGTTATTAGATACAATCGAATGAATTGTAAACCATGAGAAGTTTTACAAAAGTTAGTTTTCTAGTTACTAATAAACTGTACGCTCAATTTTGTGACGATAAAGTGTAGTATATGTATACAATGTATCGGGGAATCGTCGGCGAGTTTGCTGCGTTCGACCGACGAGCGTAGCGAGACGCCGGCAACGTCGGAGAAAACAAACGCATACGGACAACGAAGATATTAGGAGAGTCGCATGGTAACGTTCGGTGTGCGAACACGTATTTTATGCATTTATGTTACGGCCGTGGGGCCAGCTTAGTACATCTACCCTTTACGTTTATACTTACTGTGTTTTTCTAATCTAAATATATACATATATATCCACCTATTATTACATTAGTGCTTCATTCCTGACTTTCCCGGAACAAAGACTACTACAAAAGTAAGCATACTTTTACAGTTTTTGTTAAACATAGATGAACAATCAATATTGTTTAAAAATTTCTTCACGCATTATCTGCTGAAATGTACAAGTAAAATGTATAATGCGTTTTTACTTTTAAATATGTCTGTTTATGTTCATTTTCCCACAAGTTTTTATTAACTACATAGGTGTACGCTCAATTTTATGAGTAA